CAGTACCACATGACTCCTGTTGGTCGGGCCAGCCAAGCAAGCTTCAATTCCAGCAGTACCACTGCACTCCAATTTACCCGGTTTCTTGGAACTTGACATTTTCATTGGCTGCAGCCAACGGCTCGCCTGGGCCAAAAGTCCAGCCACATTCATGGTTGTTGTTGGGAAACATTTTACATTTTTTTGCTTGTTGTGGCTCAGTGGTGGAAATCCAACCACTTAACTGCTGACATTTCGAATTTTTGCCCCCCTCCCAACGTCAACCAAGCATTTACCTGGACAGACCGCGCCTAGCCCACACTGGAGCCAACCCAAGGCTACGCCAGCACGGACAACGGGGGTGTGTGCTGCTTCGATGTCCGGAAGGTGGCTTCCAAGGCGGAGAATCAGGCGGGCCTAACGCATGGAAAGGGAAATACGGGAAGAAAGGGGGAGGGGGGAGTAGATCCCCCCCCCTTGTTTGGTTTCTTTTTGGGGGGGGATGGCCGAGAAGGCTTGAACCCTCAAGTCTGGTTGCACTGCATGCCAGTTCAAATGGGCCTGCCTTTGTTTGAAGGTACCTGTCTTTTGTGGCGATTGGGGAAACCAACAAGAAACCACCCGTTGTGGCAGGCCTTCTAAAAACGGACACGTCCAAATCTTCGAATCAAAGTCAGGTTTGCTTTCAGTCCTTTGCACTCCGAATGAGCTTCGTCGCCCTTCAGTTCGTCCAAGCGAATTACTCGGGAGAGGGGTGGGACGGGCTTGTGTCCGCAATCGACGACCCACGTTTGAGGGGCCATTTGTTCAGTGGCACCGTGCACCCTTTTCCCATTGAGGCTCGGCGGGCTCAAGAAAGAAGCGGGGTCAACCACGAAGGTTTCCCCATTTGTTCCGCCAAGGTCGCTTGCCCCAGTTGGGGGCTGGCCCGATAGCAACCCAAAGCGAAATTTTGGAAGGCCAAAGGGTTGGGCACAAGACGGTGGAAGCAACCACCACTGCAACTCCCAAGCAAACTCCAAGCATACAAGAAACAAACATTCGTTGGCTTAGGCAGGTTCTTTTTTTTTGTACGTGTCAGTTGGATTTCATTTGCATATCTTATGGCTTCTTTCTTCAGGCGTCAAGTTCTTATTTCACGTTTTATTCCTTGACGCAAGAAAGGTATTGGGGTGGGGATCCCAAAATTGCTCTTCCTTTGCGTTTCGTTTAAACACAAACCTTCACAAGCGTATCCTCAACAAGACACGCCCCCAGAACTCGCTCCTACGAATGTTTCTCAACATGGTGGATCCCTTCTCCGTTGGTATGTGCCGGGAAGCTGAGCCTGCAGCTCCGTCCAGCCTCAGGAAAAAACTAACAACCCCATTTTCTAAAAAAGGTACCCCAAATAGAAGCCTGGTAAATTGAACCAAGGACGATTTCACCTGCGGTCCAATTCCTGGTGGTGGAGCCCTTTTTTTTTTTTTTTGGGGGGGGGGGCAGACGACACAGGACCATCAGATCGTCGGATTTCGCAGGTGCTGTGGACGCTGATGGCGCACGACGTGGCCTGCACCAGCGTGCAGGATGCCCCCGTCCCAGATCTGCTGGTCACGGCGGGCCTGGACGGCCATGCGAAGGTTTGGAACCTCGCAGGCCCGCTGAAGACCGGGGGGCGGGGGGGCTGACATGGCCACTTTTTCAGCAAGACTCAGGTTTTGGGTTGGGCCCAAAAGTTTTAAGGGTTCCGGGGTCCGGAGAAGTGCAAAGACCAACATATGCCCACGGGCTTTCACAAAAGACGCATCTTTCTGCCTATTTGATAGCGGGAGCAAATGGATGGCGTTCTCAAACGTCAGATCGAGACACCGGCCGATTACGAGCATGAGGCACAAACAGAGCTCTGGAAACCCTCTAACATTGGAAAGGGCACCGAGCATCATGCAGCGGCCCTGAATTTGAAGAGTTGCAACCAGGTTGCAACACCAGCTCAAAAGTTACGGATGTCCCGAGAATACCGAACCTCGTGCCCATGTTAACCACTTGCGCAAATCCACCCATCCAGAAGCCTCACTTGCCAGGTGGGGGGCCGCAGATGGTCCTCAGCAAGAACCTGCAAGCGGCTTGGCTATGCAGGATCTTGAAAGCCTTTTGCTGTTCAAGCCAGTACCTCGGTATTTTTCTCACCCACTCATCAAATAGCAAGTAGTGAAAAGGAAGGACACCATGAGAATGACCTAGACCCTTGGAGAAATTAGGAAAACTATAGATTTTCAAGTGTGTGCGTGTGTCTCATTTTATTAAGACGGTATCCGGACCGTTGTTCGGGGAAGATTCGCCCTCATTAAAACTGCTGGGTTCTACGTAATTTCAGGCTTGACTTTCGCCGCGCCAGCTTCCATGGTTGTTGAACGCTTGCTTTTGGGCTCACTTTATCTCACTTTCTGCGAAATCAAGGGAACAAGCATTGAAGTGAAGTAGTCATGGAGGATTCATGCGTGGGTCTTCCACTTCTTTCTTTCTCTTTTTCTCCGCGCCCACCTCCTACTTCGCAGTTTCCGCGCCTGTTTTCTTCCCGCGCCCATCGCCAGCCAGCGGTTTCCGGCTGCCAGGCGGGGCCCATCTTCACGTGCCAAGCGAACGCGGACATGCCGGGGCTGATGTGCTTCGGGGGCAAGTGCCCGGTGATGTGGGACCTTTCCAGCGAGCGGCTGCTGCAAGATGTCTTCAGGTTCTGAGCGAGAAGTTTCTGAGAGGGAGCTGGGAGCTGGGAGTTGACGCCTGGTTTGAGGCTGACGCTCATGTTGATCCCAGAGCAAGCAACTCCAGGTTATTAGTAGGGGGATGCGGGGGGCCCCCTCCAAAGGCGGTCTGATTCCCCACAAAGCCCAAGGGCCCCTATCCGGGGTTGATGAACACGGGCTTAACGTTGTTTGGATCCTTACACTTCACTTGGGACATGAAGATCTTTCCAAGAGTCACCAATTGCATGTGGGAGCAACAGGTTACACCTTTTGCACGGTGGATGGCTAATTGGCTTTGGCAGGCGGGCAACGTTTCCAAAAAATGTTCATGTTCCCCTTCTCCTTTGTTTTCTTCCCGTCGCCACGACAGACATCTACCTTTCCTTTGTTGTCCAAGAAGATGGCAGTTGATGATGTGGGCGATTCATTCGCGATCGATTTACTTCAGGTAGGCGGCTGGGAACCACGGGCACGCAACCTACGAAAGCTGTAGATGGAATCCGCCAAGTTAACCGCAGCGCAACGAACCACTTCTCTAAGTACCCCTGCCCGTTCAAGTAGCAGTCCCGTTTGCCGCAAACCGGCTTCGGCTATCGAGAAGCCCTTCTGGATTCTTTGTGGGTTTAGGGTAGACCATTGTAATCGCACGTAAACAACTAAGAAAACAACTATCCAACTAACACACTTTCTAGATAATGAAGAAGGAAGCAAATTGGCAAAAGATAGAGAATATTAATTCATACACAGATAGATCGATAGATGAATACGTAAACAACTATACAAGCAACTCAATAAGCACACAATCGTTTTTAACAGCAGAGAGATACAGAGAGAGAGAGAGAGGGAGAGAGTGAGAGAGTGAGAGAGAGAGAGAGAAGGGGGGAGACGTAAATGAAAAACCAACTCAGAAAATAAACATAACAATACATGAACTCTAGACAAACACCCGACAAAGTAACTAGCTGGATAAATGCACACACACACACACACCCACACACACACAAACAAATATACACATACACGTCCATTTGCTTAGTATTTGCTTCTTTCCCCTCCCTGTTGGTTTTAAAGGGAATCTATCACTACTGGAAATATTGTGCCTATTTCCAGGGGGCTTAAGCAACTGGAAGTATAAATACGTATGCAAACATATGAATACACACACATACATGCACCAGGTGTTGATGACTCATCAATCTGCGGGCCGAATTGCGGCCACCTCGGCCGGCCGAGCTAGTCAGTCCCTTGCCTTGCGGCAGCAGAATAGGGACCCCGGCTCTTGGTTGGAGGCAAAAAGACAACTTCGGTGACTTTTTGGGTTCACCTTGAGCAAAGGTGAGCCTATGATGGTGTAGCACGTTCAGCACAAATAGGAAATATGCCATGGTTTTCAAGTCTGGGCCACCAGGGTTGGCAAAACAAGCATGGCTTTAACGTATTGGGTAGGTTTGTCTTGGCTGGAAAGATCCCTGATTTTTGGCTGACGTGGTTTGAGTTGGTGCGAGACAGTGTGAGTCAACAGTCAGAGTGAGTGGAGTCGAGCCGAGTGGAGAGTGAATCGGAGTGGGCTGGCTGGGGAGTGGAGTGGAGTCGGGTTGTTGAGTTAAGTTGAGTAGAGGGGGGGGGGAATGCGGGGGTTGAGTGGAGTGAGCGAGCGAGAGTCACTGAGTGAGCGAGTGCGTGCGTGGTTGGTTGGGTGAGTGGGTGGAGTGAGTGGGCGAGTGGGTGTGGTGAGGTGACGTGAGGTGAGATGAGGTCAGGTGAGGTGAGGGACTGTGAGGTCGGTCAGTCTGTCGGACGGTCAGTCAGTCAGGTAGCCAGCGAGTCAGTGAGTCAGCTGGCCACTCCCCCTCACTGTCATCAAATTTTGCCAGGATTGCTGAGGAGCAAGGGACAGACAAGGAACACAGACACATGGGCCAAGAGGGTCCTTGATTGATCCCTCGGGGCGCCCCGCGACTCGGGGTTTTGAGGCCTCAGAAGTAAACCGCACAGCGCCCAGAGAAAAAGCGAAGTTAAGCGCGCCGCAAGCTGTTTCGGCCCGACTGAAAGTGGGACGTGTCAGGAGGAACGTAGGGAGCCTGTGTTGCCCACACCTTACCGCTTTTTTGCACTGAACCCCAAAAAGGGGTGCCCTTTGAAAGACGTTCTGCTCAAAAGGCAAAGCCTAAAAGTGTCAACTATTTAGAAAGAGAAGCAAGGGAGGCCGATCCAGGGGTTGCGGGAAGGCCACTTGGCGTCAAGCCAGGGAGCCCAACCTCAGCACCAAATCCGGGCTGCCACAGACCCCGCCAGGCCGCCCCGGCGCCGGCTCCATCCCCGCCCTTGGCGCCCTTGGCGGTTGAAGCCGAAGCGCCGGACGCTGCGCCGGGCTCAGCGGGCCGCAACAGGAGAGGCCTCCGCTCAAAGGAGCTTGCTCCAGATTTTTGTTTGTCTTTTAGTTGCTAGGGCCCCATGCTATGTAGGGAGTTTCTGGAATTCGCCCCTGACTGGGTGGAATTCCCTGCCGTGCGGTTCAAACTTAGCTTTTTGTTTCTTTTTCTCTTTATTTTTGGTTGCTAATGGCCCCATGCTATTTAGGGAGTTTCTGGTTGGCCGTGACTGGGTGGAATTCCCGGCCGTCCGGTTCAACTTGGCTTTTTGTTTCTTTTTGGTTGGTTTAGTGGTTGGGTTTCACACATTCAGCCCACAAGTTGAGCTTTGAGCGGATCTGAGGAGAGCCCAGGTACAAGGAGCTTTCTCTAGATTTCTTCTTTTTGGGGGCCCCATGTTATTCAGGGAGGACTTTTGTTTGAGTTTAGTTTAGGTTTTCAGGTTCGAAGGGCCACAAACAAAGTGACAGTTGCTGTAAAGTTGCTCAGTGTAGGTCTCAGCACCTAGTCGGGCTCTTTGTGCTTGCTCTTCGTGCTCAGTGCTGCTACTGCCGATGGATGAAATCTACTTCGCCTCAGTTGGGCTGGATGAGGCCCCATGAATGCTGGGACAAGCCACCTATCAACTGGTGCCCGGCGTGCATTTTGCCCATCGTCAGGAGTTGATCGGTGCTTGCTGCTTTTTCTGGTCGCTGCTTGGTGCTGGAGAGCCACTCCTCTCCAATTTCGTCTCATCTTGAGGTGGCAACAAAACGGGCGACAAAAAGGCAAACCCGGGGCAAATGATATGATGCTGCAAATTTGATGACGTTTTCTTTCTGGCTATTTTTTTGGGGGGGTTCTCCTAGATTGAGCAGGGGTCCCTATATTTCCCTTTTTGGTGGTTTCCCTTTTTGGGGACCTGCCCACTTTGGTTGCAGACATTCGCATGATTTCCATCCCTTTGCAAGAAGGGGATACCGTCGAGTCACAGTGGACGAGACGGAGGTTTCACAAAGAGCGCCTTCGGGCGCCGCGCTAAGGAGAACGGACTCGGGCTGCACTCACACGTGGGGTGCAGTCCGAAGAAAGAGACGGGTGGTTTCAAACATCACCTTTTTGGCCCATGAAAGGTGGTGGGGGTGAAGGTTTAAGGGGAAAACATAGGGAGCCCTGTTGAGACCAACCCAACTGGACATCTTGGGTCCGGGACATCCCGAGGCCGCGTCTTTGCTGGAGGCTGCCCGCCTGGCTGAGGCGGAGAAGGGGCGGTGACGGGGCGGTGAGAATGCCCAGCGCGGCCGGTGGTTTCTGGATTCAAGGCTTTCTTTGTTGGTTTGCTTGCTTGTTGGTTTGTTTGTTTGTTTGCTTGCTTGCTTGTTGGTTTGTTGGTTTTGTTTGCTTGCTTGCTCTCTTTCTTGCTGGCTTGCTGGCTTGCTTGCTCTCTTTCTTGCTGGCTTGCAGCGCTGGGGCTCGCCTTTGCGAGGAAAAGTTAGGGGTTGGCAAGTTTCTGGACTTTTCCACTTGAGTGAGTTCGAGTGGCAGACGGCAAGTTGGACGAAACTGAGGCTTTCCTACGAAGCAACCAAGCGAGGAACAGGGGCCAAGAAGGCAAACACTTTTTTTGTTGCTTTCTGCGCGTCTGATGTCCAGTTTTTCCTTGAAAGGGTCCTTGAATAGCACCTGCTTGCTCTGTCGTCTAGCGCCGGCCCGGGCTGTTCCCCTGTTCGGTTGGTCTTGGCCTGGGTTCCCGTCTTGCATGATGTTGACTCCGGATCTAAGTCGAACTTTGCCCTAGTAATAGCGAGGATGTTGGCCCCAAAGATGAATCGTTAAAAGGGACCCCGAACTATGTTGACCCCAAACAAAGTGGAACCTGCCCTACGATAGACCCAAAGATGCATCCCCAAAAGGGGTTGCTCCCCATCCAAATTTCCCAGGCGCCGGTCCACGCGGAGCCTGGGGGCCCAGACGAGTCCGGACGAAATCCGAAATCCGAAATGCGTTTGGCGAACAGGAAAGGGGTTGCATGAATCCCTGACAAGCTCGTAGAGAGCTCTTCAGGGGGGAGCGAGCACTGAGATGAAGGAAAGGCCCTGGGCGCAACCCGCTTTAGCTTTTGGAGGAACGCGTGGCTTGGTGGTTCTCAAAGGTGGAAACTGGGGTTGGTTCGCTAAGCCTTCCGCGGTCTGCCTTTTTTTGGACTTTCCATTTGTGGTGCTAAATGAAATGAGAAAGATATCAAGGGAGGCCCCCAAGTGATAAGGTGGGAATGACCCAGAATCACAAGGGCGGTTTTCCAGAACCGTGAAACAGGCATCCCACCCCGCACTTGCTCGCCCCTTCCGAGGACAGTGCTAGACCCGGAGCAGGACGGCGCGGGAAGGAAGTGGAGCCCAATGTCTGACGAGTCATTGCCCCCCGAAAAAGAGCTGGGATTTCACTCCCCGAGTTCCCGAACTTTTTCCAACTTTGTGGGAATAGTTTAGCTTTTGGCGGGTTTTTGCCCATCCCAGAGTCTGATTTTCCGGTGACCTACCATTTTGGGCCATGAGGGGGGAGGACTTGGTAGTATGAAGCCCAGAGGCCAAAGCGAGCTCGATGATTCAGTGTGTGTTTGGGGTCTCTTTATTTTTTGTTTGTCTTTTGTTTTTCGTCCTGAGCACCCCACACAGAGGAGACCAGAGGTCTTTTGCCCTCCTTTCGTCAGGGTGCCCAGATCAAGACTGCATGCGGCACTGAGGGCAAGACCCGAATGGGAATACCTTCCAAGGCCACATTAAACAAACAAAAAAACATTCCTGCGTCACCGGGAGCTGATGTTATGAAGCAAACTGTTCAGTTTTTTTCTCACCTCGAAGGGGAGCCCAGAGAGGATGGGTTTGCTCTCGATGCTTTTCGCCCACAAGTCGGCGGCATCGATCGGCCAAACCCGTCAGGCGGAGAACATGAAGAAGGCCCTTGCGGCCTGGCTCTCCCAGGCTGGTGCCTGTGTGCCGATGCCTGGGGCGGAGGTTCACCGGGAAGCCAAAGGGAAGCCCACCGTTTTGGGGGTCCTCGTTCTTTTTTTTTGGGGGGGTTTGTGGACACCCACAACCACCCAGGCACGATCGATGCGGGGCATGAGAGGAGCGCTGAGTGGCGTGTTGGCCGTTTTGATCGTGGCTATCTGCTAGAGGGGCTGTAAGGAGCGACATCACACATCATGCTTCCATGATCATGTTACAAGGTGGTTTCAGAGTGCGAGCCAACCTCATTTTGAGTCTTTAGGCGTTCTGGTGCCCTCCCAAGAAAAATGAAATGTAGAAGTTAAACACACGCCCCTTTCCACCAGACTTTTTGTTTCTTCTTTGTTCTTTTCTTTGGGAAGGGGAATAGGTTTCTTCAGGTGGATTATGTTTACACATATTTTCACACATATGCATATATATATATATAGATGTACATGTACACATTGCCGCATATTTTTTTTTATATTATATATATATTGTTTAATTATTTATTTATTTATTTATTTATTTATTTATTTATTTATTCATTCATTCATTTATTTATTTATTTATATGTGTATATCCACACGCACGTTTTTACACACACACACACACACATATATATATATATGTACGTCCGCCCTGAATTTAGGCTTGGCAAAGGGAGGTTGCCTGAACCATGAATTTCATGGCATCCGCTTGGAGGTTTCTGCAGGGTATGCCAGACACAAAACGGGCGGCAACAGGACACGCCCGGGGCAGACGAAAGGGTTCTCAAACTGGGCTGTTCAAAGGTACTCCTTGATCCTTACCTTCGGTTGCGCAAGGAAAGGTCCCTTTTGTAGTGGCTTCCCCTTTTGGGAGTTCGGGAAAATGGGATTGGCCAAGCCAGCCCATTTTGAACAACCTCAGAAATATGTTTCAACAGGGGTTGGCCAAACACCTGCCATGGCCAAAAACTCGCAGTTGTTGCTTGCTTGCTTGATTTTATTGGTTGATTTTTTTGATTGCTTGATTAATTGCTTGATTGATGGCTTGTTTGACCGATCGATGGATTGATGGGATTGGATTGGATTGATTTCCAAAACGGGGCACCTCGGGGGCACCTGGGGCCCGGGCTTGGTGCCGCTCGGTGAAGGGACATCCCCAAGCCACCCGGCCAGGTGGCCTCCTTCCATGAGGCAGGGGACGTATTCTTCTCTTGCCAACCCTGGCTTGGCTTCCATTTGGTGGGTGTTTTCTCTGGTTTTAAAGGGAATCGATTTCACGACTGGAGATATCTCTCTTTTTTTTTCCAGGGGACTTAAGCAAATGGAGGTTGGTCAAAGAATCAAGCTGGGCAATTGGGGGGCGGCCAGTGGTGGGAAGATAAACCAATCACTGTGGGGATAGGTAGCACGGCCATACATGAACTTGTGCCACCACCAACCGCCGGGCTGCCGGGGGCGCGGACTGTGAATCTAAGAGACAACTTTGGACAGCGAAAAGATGAAAGCAGAAGGGTAAAGTTGGCGCAAAGGGGCCTTTCGGTTCTTCCTTTCCCTGGATGCTCGATTGTACCCTTAAACTTATGTGCGTTGCTGTAACTTCTCATTACGGATTGGGATTGGGCGATTGGGCATCCCCCATTTTTTGAACACCGTTCATCTTTGACTACCCGAAGGTCTTAAAGCCGAGGGGTGGTTGATCCTGCAGGGATGTCCTGCCTTGGGCCTTTGTAGTTCTTTACATTGGTTTGGGTAGACTTTTTTTTCTATGCCGATCGGTTTTGATTCTGATTTCGCCTTGGTTGGACTGAAAACTCCGGCCAAACCAACTTCCAACCGCTAGGTCGAGACCCTGCATCTCTTGGCGCGGCACCTTTGCCTGCAAAAAACAAACCCGCTTCGCTTGGGGCTGGGTGGGGGGATCTGCTTAAAGGGGCAGGGTAGGTCAGAGAGGTGGTTGGCAGCAACCACGATTCTGAAGCCAACTGCCATGGTTTCCCCGCAGGTAGCACGGTTGCCCCAGGCTCGTGAACCTCCCGTCCCAGGCTTCTTGTAGGGGTTGGAGACCATAGACCTGGACCAGTCGCTTCGGGCAGCGTGTGAAGCCGTCGAACTGGTGGCAACCTCCAAGTGGTTGGTGGAAGCAACTCCCCACCTATGCGGTGTCCACCACAGGGTCCTTTATTAAAATTCACACCCGTATCAATGGTAAGTAAGGGTATGGCATCAGCTGTACCTGCTGCCAGGATCAACGCGGTTGCCAGAAGGGGTTTGCAAGGGACGCGACTTGGGCTTGTTGTCGAATAGGGCTCCAAGAATGAGGTGAGCTCCAAAATGTGATTTGCGTTGAGATCACCCAAGCAAGGTACTCGGGTACCAAACGCAAACACCTTGCAAGGGGAGCCGGGGAGACCTCGTAACACCCACAATTCGCGACATATCTGAGGGGAACCGTAACACCTGTGGTGGCGGCAAAGCCGCCCGGGCATAACTCCACGTGTTTGCGGCGTTTGCTACTTATCCAGTTCAGCAGCTTCGGGGATTTGGCCTTCCAATGGACCCAGGCCGCGCTAAAGCCAAAATGTGTCGTGTTTTGGCTGGGTGGGTAAATGGGGTCTGATGGCCAACAAAAACGGGTAGCACCGTTTGAAGGATGTTGGTTTCAGAGAAGTGTCGAAATAGGGGGTGTGCCTACTTGTTGTTTGGCCGCTCCTTCATTCCCACAGCGCGGGCTCCCACAAGGGACAAGAATGAGACACCTGCGACCATGTCCTGGAAGCAAACGCCAGCCGGGGCTTTGGTTACTCACACTGACGAGGTGGCTCCAGGACAGCCCGGCTGACGAAGTCAACAACGAGCCCGGGGGGCCCAAGCGATAGATCGATTCGGTCGTTTCGGGCAGGTCAGTCCAGCCTGGGAGCAAGTCCCCTTAAGGGAAGGGCCCCTTTGTTGCGGCCACGGCCTTTCCATAGATAGCTTTTTGGCTATTTGGTTGGATCTTTGGAGAGCAAACCAGGGGAGGGGTTCGGGAGGGTGAGGGTTGGAATCCCATGATGAAGCATGGTTTTGGATCACAACCATATATTTCAATGAAGAACATTCTGACGAGAGGATTGAACAGAGAAAGATGAACCGCAGCGTCTCAGAGAGAAAATCGGACCCCGTATTCCCCTTCGATCAGGAGTCCTTTCGCATGTGCAGAAACTTGCTGGACAGGCTTTTGGCTTCATGTTAAGCGGGTTTTCCACCTCATAGTTCCTTTCCTTTCCGGCAAGTGGGTGTGTCCGTATTTTTGACTCCCCCTTTTGTTTTGTTTTTGAGGGGAGGGTAAAAGGACACCGAATCCATTTGTTGGGTTCCCACAAGTCCGGACAACAACATCTACGGGAAATCCTTGGTGGGTTGCCCCGTAGCTGGCTTCCATGAGTCGGGTCTAAGTCTGACCCCAAATTTTGTGGGGACCCCCCTCCCAAACAGTGGTTTTCCTTTTGGTTTTCCTTCGTAACCACCAAACAGTTTGTAACAACGGGTAGGCTCAAAAGGACACGCCCACTGAACTCGTAACGAGTCCCTTACCGCGGTGCGGTCAGGCTGGACCGGCTGGTGGTCAAGGACCCCAACGCCGCCTGGGTCACCTGCGCCTCAGAGACTTGACCGGATTTTGAGCTTTGGGGTCTCCTTCGCACATTACAAAAAACACACACACACACACACACATCTATATATATATATATACATTGATATTTATTTATTCCTTCATTTATTTATTTATTTATTTATTTACTTAGTTTTACTTATTTATTTATGTATTTATGTATTTATTTATTCATGTATTTATTTATGTATTTATTTATTTATTTATTTATTTATCTATTAATTTATTTATATATACACATATGTATATATATATACTATGGATAAATGAACATATATATATATATATATATATAGATGACCGAGGTGTGGTAAACATGTGTTTGTTTATTTTGGGGCAAACATGAATATCAAGATATGCATATGTATTGTTGTGGGGGAGGGGGCAGAGTCAGAAATACTTGTAGAAACACAGTAACGGCAACATCTAGAAATCAATATCGTGGCAGCCCATCCCGGTGCACGAAATGCCGGCCATACCAACATTTGAGTGGCGATCCCGGTGGCGATCCCGGTGGCGATCCCGGTGGCGATCCCGGGATCGCTTCGCCGCACGGGATTCGGGATTTGCGAATCCCAATCCCTGAATCCCAATCCCAATTTCGGGATTCGGGATTCGGGATTCGGGATTCGGGTCGCGAATCCCAAATCCAGGAGTTGGGACTCGGGATTCGGGATTCGCGAATCCCAAATCCCAACCCCAATTTCGGGATTCGCGATTCGGAATTCGGGATTCGCGCAAATCCCAATTTCGGGATTCGGGATTCGGGATTCGGGAATCCCAAACCAAATTTTGAGATTCGGGATACGGGA